AGCACCTAGCAGAGCCAAAACAACAGCATTGGACCACAGCAAAACACCTACTGAGGTACTTAAAAGGTACTATTGATCAGGAATTACATTACCAAAAATGTAAGGGAAGCCTACAGCTTGAAGGATATAGTGATGCTCATTGGGCGGCCGATAAAAATGACAGGAGAAGCACAACTGGATACTGTTTCAGCTTAACTGAGAATGGTCCAGTTATATCATGGAAGAGTAAGAAACAGCAGATGGTGGCACTATCCACCTGCGAAGTGGAGTACACGGCGCTAGCAGCCACTACTCAGGAGGGTATGTACCTTGTACAACTACTTAAAGGAATAGATAGTAGTAACCAGCATGTACCAGTCAAGATATATGAGGACAACCAAGGGGCGATAGCTCTATCTAAGAACCCAGAATGCAGACAAAGAAGCAAACACCTTTATATAAAGTATCACTTCATACGATCTGCACACGCAGAAGGGAAGATATCTATAGGATACTGCCCTACTGCACACAGGGTGGCTGATGTTCTTACTAAGCCTGTGACAAAGGCAGAGTTTGAGAAGTTCAAGGGATATTGGTTTGGAGAATAATGTATGGAGAGTTACCTTTAATGGAAATATTTGAGCAGGTCCCATCAGTCTGAAGTACAAAAAGTCACACTTCCTTCTAGCCTGTCAGGTGGTCATCAGCTATGGGCCGACTGCTTATGATTGCTCCTGTTCTCTTGGTTCATTTAATTTGGTTTTGTTCTCACAAAAACCAGCAAACACTTGTCCTAAATAGTTTCTGCTGGATCAATTGTCTGCCATTTCCACGTTATGAAATTAGACTAAACTCTTCTTCTAGTTCCTACGACCTGCTGATTACAAATGTCACTGATTCTGATGAATGCGTTTACTACTGTGGAACTACTAAGAAGAAAGAGGGTAAAAACGGAAAGCTTACACCAAGAGACAGGTACAGCAACATCACAACAAGGCTCACCATCACTTTTCCTATTTTTGTTACTATCTTAATAAGCAATGAATTGAACCATCTAATAATACAATGTTATGTCAGCTTTTGAATTCTTCAGTGCTGCTATAGAAATCATGGGCTGTGTTTAACATTCTATTCCATCACAGGTCTGTTAAACATTTTCATTTTAACCCTCTAACATCCTGCTCAGCCATTCGGTAGAGCACATTTCATATGTTTCATCACAACCTATATATGGAATGGCCAGAGAATAATATCTATTAAATATCGACAACTAATGGCATTTAAAAGGAACACATGATATGTGAAACGCAAATGGGAAAAGGGGTTTGAAATTGATATTTCAGAAGAAGACTGGTTACACATATGGCAGACACAGCACACCACTGCATCATCACATACATGGAGTGTAATGTACGAGTGAGCGGACCCAAAAACACCCGGAGGCAAACGAT